CTCTCTCTCTCTCTCTCTCTCTCTCTCTCTCTCTCTCTCTCTCTCTCTCTTTTTCTAGCATGTACTGCTATATACTGAAATTTTTGTACCTTCTCCCTTTCTAGATTTGACAGCGGTTGGATCATCAAGATCGGACGAGGGTTAGACTATTTTAAGAAAGCTGACGGTCGCTTCTCCATAGGCTGGGCAGATTTCCACTTCCGACAGTGTCACCGAACTACCATAGATATATTCCACAAGCACACCGTAAAAGGATAAGAGTTTTATATGTAATACAATGAGTGCCTTCGATACCCTTTGATTCTTCTTCAGGAATGTAATGTTCCTCTCCATAGTACAACTCACGGGCATGTTATTCTTGGTCACAAAGTTTTTTATGTTATTTTTTTAAAACTGAAGAAGTGTTTTTTGAAAACTTGTTGTCTGAAGTAAGAGGAAATGGGGGGGAGGAAGTCTAGGTTTGGTGTAGAAGTTCATTAAGTCCAGAAAGTTGGAGAGAGATCACTTTATTGACAATTGTATGTAGTGAGAAAAATACTTAAATTTTTTTTATAGATATCATAGGTAATTTTGATATTAAATTGGTGCTATACTTCAAGAGACACAAGTGAATTTGTTGTTCATTATACATTGCATACTTCATATGGTGATCATATAAGTATCCCTTTTTTTTTCTTTTTTTCTTTTTTTTTTAAGACACTTTGGGCTTTGATACAAGTTACAAGGGTTTTATTCCATATAGGTTACAAAATGTTTTATCCCTATAGGTTACAAAATGTTCTGTGATTTTAAGACTTAATACATTGTTACGCATTTTAATAATGATGGTTTTATAATGCCTTTATGTGTGTTTTTATCCATAATGTGAATAGAAGAATTTTCTGCTAACATCAAGATCTGATATATAAATATGTAGAGAGAGAGAGTCATTTTGTCTTGGTAATTCTTTCACCAAAATACAAATGGGATGCCATTTTACACCTGGAAGTGTTCCCATATAAAGTCTTACGGGTAGAGTGAAACATATCTGTGTATACATATACTGCACATATAAGACTATTTATGCAATTTCCACCAAAAATTATTGTTACCACAACTCTCAAAACATAGACAGAAAACATATGAGTATTGCCGCCATGACAGAGTTGATCGTACATTTGGAAAACATCACAGGCTTCAGGAAATGTGTGGTGGTCTGTGTGTTTTGAGCTCTCGCATGAAGACACGTAAGGCCACAGATAATCTTCGAAGAGGAGAGACGGTGAAAGACCTGTGAATCACAATAAATGAATTGAATGAAAAACATCCATCACTGCTGGGATGTGTCTCTCAGAGGAATCTACAGCAGAGAACTACTGCAAAAGACATTGAAACTACTTCCCACCATGTTAGATGTAGAAAGCGGAGTTTCAAGTATTATAGCAGAGGGCTGGAGGAATAAATGCAATAGAATGATGGAAACAAGTTTTTAAGCACGAGGAAGAGGCCTGGAAGGATTAAAAGTATTAAAATTTGAACCACTACTACCCTCTAGGCACAGAAAACAGTGATACGTCCAGTTGGGGGGATGGTGCAAGCCTCATTCATTGGGGTGCAGGGGCTGGGAAGAGGTTTACTCTTTAGAGAGAGTAAAATAAATAAATGTATTTATTAATATATATACCCATATACATATATACACATACCCCCATATATATATATATATATATATATATATATATATATATATATATATATATATATATATATTATATATATATATATATATATATATATATATATATATATATTATATATATATATACATATATTTGCATATACATATATATGTGTAGTGTGTATGTGTATAAGTATATATATATATATATATATATATAATATATATAATATATATATAATATATATATATATATATACACATATATATATAAAATTATTCAACAGCCCCTCATTCCACTGCAGTTCTCCGGCCTCTCTTAATTCTTATGAGGGCTATTTTGGCAGCACCGCCCTTGCCTCACTGGATGTCCCTCTGGCCACTTGTGCCTCGGCAGCGGCATCCCCTACGTCGCTGGTGTTTGACCTCTCAAGGCGATGTGTGTGTGTGTGTGTGTGTGTGTGTGTGTGTGTGTGTGTGTGTGTGTGTGTGTGTGTGTGTGGTGTGTTTGTTGTGTGTGTGTGTGTTGTGTGTGTGTGTGTGTGTGTGTGTGTGTGTGTGTGTGTGTGTGTGTGTGTGTGTCTGTGTGTCTGTGTGTCTGTGTGTCTGTGTTGTCACATAAGCGCGCGCGGCCGCGCGTATGTGAGTGTGTGCGCGTGTGGGTAATGTCTGAACAGGTTTCTTGTCACATTCTGCCGGGTTGAGAAGACGGCAGAGAAAAACGTTATACAAGAAAAAAAGTTTACTGAAAACTGAGGACAAACACAAGGAAGAACTAGGAAAATGTGAATCAGTGGTAAATATTAATCCCATTTCGACCAAGCACAGTAAAAAGGGGGTAAAGTAATTGAATACGAGCTGTTCACTTTTTAATTGAATTTCTAGCGCAGTATACATTGAGGAAAACAAGGTGGGCTGGGGGCGGGAACATGGAGACTTTGCTACTTTCTTTCAACGCCAATACCAGGGTCGTACAGATGAGAATGAGATGCTAAATGAGCCTATGCTGACATACGATGGTGGGAGTGGTGGCGGAGGGGGGAAAGGGTCGTTTGAACGGGGCTCCCACAACAAGAACCGCCTTGCTATGAACGCCCCTTCTCCCGATTGAATCAGTATGAAAGTTGGCTCCCTTTTCCTCCGCTGAGATGACCTCCCTTCTGAACAGGCCTGGTGGGGTGGGGGGAAAGGCAAATGGTTTCTATGTAGGTTCCCGTGGGTGAGTGTGCAACCTCTCTGGCCATCCCGTCTGAAAGGATCCATCTACCCATGTGTTTACAGTTGCGTGTTGTCCCTATGCGGTAAACGGAAAGGCTGGAGGTTGAGTGATGTCTCTTCGGTCCCTTACTCTGTCCAAGGTCTAAATCAGAAACTTATTTACTCTGGATAGAAGACCAGTTTGACCCAGTCTCAGTCAGGTCATTCGACTGGCTCCTTTGACTTATTTATTCTGGATAGAAGACCAGTTTGACCCAGTCTCAGTCAGGTCTGGCTCCTTTGACCTCTGGATAGAAGACCATGAAGTCTCAGTCAATTCGACTGGCTCCTTGACTATTTACTCTGGACAGAAGACCAGTTTGACCCAGTCTCAGTCAGGATTCGACTGGCTCTTTTGACTTATTACTCTGGATAGAAGACCAGTTTGACCCCAGTCTCAGTCAGGTCATTCGACTGGCTCCTTTGACTTATTTACTCTGGATAGAAGACCAGTTTGACCCAGTCTCAGTCAGGTCATTCGACTGGCTCTTTTGACTTATTTACTCTGGATAGAAGACCAGTTTGACCCAGGGTCAGGTCATTCGACTTCCTTTGACTTATTTACTCTGGATAGAAGACCAGTTTGTCCAGTCTCAGTCAGGTCATTCGACTTGGCTCTTTGACTTATTTACTCTGGATGAAGAGGACCAGTTTGTTTGACCCAGTCTCAGTCAGGTCATTCGAGACTTATTTACTCTGGACAGAAGACCAGTTTGACCCAGTCTCAGTCAGGTCATTCGACTGGCTCCTTTGACTTATTTACTCTGGATAGAAGACCAGTTTGACCCAGTCTCAGTCAGGTCATTCGACGGCTCTTTGACTTATTTACTCTGATAGAAGACCAGTTTGACCCAGTTCTCAGTCAGGTCATTCGACTGGCTCTTTTGACTTATTTATCTGGGATAGAGACCAGTTTGACCCAGTCTCAAGTCAGGTCATTCGACTGGCTCTTGTGACTTATTTACTCTGGATAGAAGACAGTTTGACCCAGTCTCAGTCAGGTCAATTCGACTGGTTTGACTTTTTACTGGATAGAAGACCAGTTTGACCCACTCAGTCAGGTCATTCGAGGACAGATGACAGTTTGACCCAGTCTCAGTCAGGTCATTCGACTGGCTCTTTTGACTTATTTACTCTGGATAGAAGACCAGTTTGACAGTCTCACCGAGACTCAGAAGACCAGTTTGCCAGTCTCAGTCAGTCATTCGACTGGCTCCTTTGACTTTATTACTCTGGACAGAAGACCAGTTTGACCCAGGTCAGGTCATCGCTGTTTGACTTATTTACTCTGGGATAGAAGACCAGTTTGACCCAGTCTCAGTCAGGTCATTCGACTGGCTCTTGACTTATTTTACTCTGGATAGAAGACCAGTTTGACCCAGTCTCAGTCAGGTCATTCGACTGGCTCCTTTGACTTATTTTACTCTGGATAGAAGACCAGTTTGACCCAGTCTCAGTCAGGTCATTCGACTGGCTCCTTGACTTATTTACTCTGGATAGAAGACCAGTTTGACCCAGTCTCAGTCAGGTCATTCGACTGGCTCCTTTGACTTATTTACTCTGATAGAAGACCAGTTTGACCCAGTCTCAGTCAGGTCATTCGACTGGCTCTTTGACTTATTTACTCTGGATAGAAGACCAGTTTGACCCAGGTCTCAGTCAGGTCATTTCGACTGGCTCTCCCTTGACTTATTTACTCTGGATAGAAGACCAGTTTGACCCAGTCTCAGTCAGGGTCATTCGACTGGCTCCTTGACTTTTACTCTGGATAGAAGACCAGTTTGACCCAGTCTCAGTCAGTCATTCGACTGGCCCTTTGACTTATTTACTCTGGAATAGAAGACCAGTTTGACCAGTCTCAGTCAGTCATTCGACTGGCTCCTTTGACTTATTTCTGGATAGAAGACCAGTTTGACCCAGTCTCAGTCAGGTCATTCGACTGGCTCCTTTGACTTATATTACTCTGGATAGAAGACCAGTTTGACCCAGTCTCAGTCAGGTCATTCCGACTGGCTCCTTTGACTTATTTTACTCTGGATAGAAGACCAGTTTGACCCAGTCTCAGTCAGGTCATTCGACTGGCTCCTTTGACTTATTTACTCTGGATAGAAGACCAGTTTGACCCAGTCTCAGTCAGGTCATTCGACTGGCTCCTTTGACTTATTTTACTCTGGATAGAAGACCAGTTTGACCCAGTCTCAGTCAGGTCATTCGACTGGCTCCTTTGACTTATTTACTCTGGATAGAAGACCAGTTTGACCCAGTCTCAGTCAGGTCATTCGACTGGCTCCTTTGACTTATTTACTCTCTGGATAGAAGACCAGTTTTGACCCAGTCTCAGTCAGGTCATTCGACTGGCTCCTTTGACTTATTTACTCTGGATAGAAGACCAGTTTGACCCAGTCTCAGTCAGGTCATTCGACTGGCTCCCTTGACTTATTTACTCTGGACAGAAGACCAGTTTGACCCAGTCTCAGTCAGGTCATTCGACTGGGCTCCTTTGACTTTTACTCTGATAGAAGACCAGTTTGACCCAGTCTCAGTCAGGTCATTCGACTGGCTCCTTTGACTTATTTACTCTGGATAGAAGACCAGTTTGACCCAGTCTCAGTCAGGTCATTCGACTGGCTCCTTTGACTTATTTACTCTGGATAGAAGACCAGTTTGACCCAGTCTCAGTCAGGTCATTCGACTGGCTCCTTTGACTTATTTAC